AAGGGCACCAAAGAAGTGGGGTGTACAGAGTGATTATATACCATCTTAGAACAAAGAGCCTACATCACATGTGATAGGAAGGTCCCTTTTACCACAGTCATGAGATTGCCTAGCCGGCGCAGCACAGCTATTCACACAGCAGGTGGCAGGTCTGCTGTCTCGAGCTGGGGGGCTCACAGGGTCAGCACAGCAATCAATTCCTAGCCTAGAGAGAGATGCTCATGCTTAAGGAGATGCCCATGTCGGGGAAGTTGCATCTTTCTTTTAAGGGCATTTGTTCTTGTCTTTGGGACATAGCAAATGCTTAAAGCAGACATACAATGTGTGCTCAATGGCCATGGCAGACCCTATTGGGAAAAAACAAGGTTAGGCCAAATTGGGTTTACACGAAATGGCTTCCTCTTATACACCAGTATCCTATTGCTTGCCCTTTGTTTGTCACATGCATATAGCTTTTTCCAGGGCACAGCCAACTTAGAAAAGGAGACCGCTGTGCAGGGGGCGCAGTAGACTGAAGGGGATCTGGAGCCCCAGGTGGGGTGACCCACCAGGCTCTGGGATTGAGGCACTGTGCCCTGTGCTCTCCTGTTCGGGCTGCTGGCGCAAGGTGCAGGAGGATTACCAGACAGTCTGCACGAGGGTTTCCACTTCTAGAGCCAGGGGGCCGTGAATGCGGTCACTCACCGAGTGTGAGGTTTCTACGTGCGCGCGCGCGCACACATACAGACACACACACGCGCAGAGCTGGAACAACTGTGGACTCAGAGCTTCATCTTTGCTGCTGTATGTCAGTATTTCCCTCTGGGTGGGGGACATTGCGCCTGCTGAGTCCTCAGTGCATCCGATCGACATCATTAGTCAGACCTCCTCAAACCTGGTCCACGATCTCTTCACTGGTAAGATTGCTATGTCTGGGAGTGCCTGCCTTCCAGCCACCAAAGGCGGAGAAAAGTCTGAGGGAACTCTCCAGGCGCAGCGTTGAGGCTCTTGTTGGGGGAGCGTCTGTGGGTGTAAAATGTCAGAAAACGGGAAAAACGAGCTGGACCACTGACTGTTCTCAGAACCTGTGGAGGGGTGGGGGCACGTGGCCTCAGGTGGCGCTGAGACGAAGGTGCTCGTTTCTCTGATATCTGATGTCTTCCTCCACCCTGATGACGAGCAGGAAAAGCCCTGGTTTCCCTCTGAGCGGGTCCTACACTCTGACTTAGACGGCGGCACCTGGGGACTGCAGCTCCTAGTGCCAGCAATTCTGTGTCAGAAGCTGCTCTGACAACGTTACTCCAACCCCAACCAGCAAATAAAACTCTTCCGGACAGATCGCTAGGGTGTGACAACGACGAGTTAGGCGGTGAGAATGGTCCCTTTGTTGCAGGGAATGGTTGGTATCCAGACAATGTGGCTACCTGGAGCCGTATTTAAATTTAAATTTCTGTATTTAAATTTCTGTACCAGAAAGAGTTGGGCTTTGGGGTCAGGTGCACCAGAGTTCAAATCTTCCTCTGCCTCGGCACCTCCTGTGGGACCTTGAACAATTTAATTTAACCTTAGAGACTCAGTAACCTTGTCTGAAAACACAGATAATCAGGTCTCGCTGGGCCGCGGTGAGGAACAGACAAGGTCAGGTTTTGCCTGGCACGTGATGGAAACGCCACAGATGACCCCCTGTCCTTCTTGGAGGAGGATGACTTCCGTCACGCTGCAACCCCTGTGGATGCTGGTCTCGCCTGACTCTCCCGTGTTGTGTGAACTGGGAAGGGAGCAGGCCAAAAAGGAAAATGGGGAGTGGCCATCATGGGCTTTTTTGCTCGTACTAATCCAGATGACACATGAAGTGGATTCGCATGGAGGGAGGTGTTCTCCGCAGATGTTGTTTTGGGGGAGAGAAGGTTCTCTTTCAAAGTGAGCTAAATGGTTCTTGACCTTTCCATTCCATCTCTGACTTACCCAGCCAGGTGGGGAGGCTGCTCAGGTGCCAGGGGCGCTCGCATAGATTGTGTGGACCCCTCCTGGTCCCCGGAGAGGAAGGCCAGAGGGTTTGCCAGAGAGCTGCTCTTTGCTGTCTTCCGTTTGGCCCCAGGAACTGGGGTGTTGGCACTGATTCTCCCAGGAGTGTTGGGTGTTATTTGTTACAAAGATTCTTTTCACAAGTGACATAACCAGAACACTTCTAATGAGTATAATTAAATTTTGAATCGAAGTTTGTCCTCCTCATGATTACCTCTTGTGAAAATCTTTTGAAAGGGTTTCACTTGGGTTTCTCTCATTTTGACGTTTCAGAAGCACTTCAGTTCTTTCCCAGCTGGAGTACGGATCTTAGGAGCAGTTCCTGTGTCTCGCCCTGAATGGATCATTCATATTCCTTAAACCCGGTCTGAGTGTTGTCCTTCTTGAGCTTACTCTCAGGAGTGAGTCCCAGCCATTCTTTGGTTTGGCTAAGTGTATTTTTCTCAGCACGGCTGTCTTTCCGTCTGCAGTCTTGGGTCTTTCCTTCTATGACGTCTGCCCCTGGCGTGGAAGTGGCTCCTCACGCAGCTCCCAGTTAGGAGAGGCCGGTGGACCCGGGGCGTGGATTTCTGGGCCAGCAGGGCCTCCCCTCACGGGGTCCCCTCCGCACGGAAGGCTGAGGGTGATGCGGGGTCGGTGAGCCAAGGAGTCGAAAGAAAGATTTCTTAGACTCTTAAGATCTGGCGGTAGTGCTCTTTTATTTAGAGAATAGTGTGGAATAGCATGGGGACAGGACCCATGGGCAGTCAGAGCTTCTGCTGCCGCCGCTTCTGCTGCCCCCGCTGGCATGGGGACAGGACCCATGGGCAGGCAGAGCTGGTGCGTGGGGACAGGACCCACGGGCGGTCAGAGCTCCTGCTGCTGCCCCCGCTGGCATGGGGACAGGACCCATGGGCAGGCAGAGCCGCTGCGTGGGGACAGGACCCATGGGCGGTCAGAGCTCCTGCTGCTGCCCCCGCTGGCATGGGGACAGGACCCATGGGCAGGCAGAGCTGGTGCGTGGGGACAGGACCCACGGGCGGTCAGAGCTCCTGCTGCTGCCCCCGCTGGCATGGGGACAGGACCCATGGGCAGGCAGAGCTGGTGCGTGGGGACAGGACCCACGGGCGGTCAGAGCTCCTGCTGCTGCCCCCGCTGGCATGGGGACAGGACCCACGGGCAGTCAGAGCTCCTGCTGCTGCCCCGAGTTGAGGGTTAGGGCTAATTTTATAAGGCATGGGTACGTGACTTATTTTTACTGGAAAAAGAAAAGATGATGTGAAAAGTCGTTAAATGATTTCAGTGCAGATGGGGTCTGGTTATTGTGCGGTCATATAACTTTAGATACGAATCTGGCCATATAGATCGGCATGCAGGTGAGGATGCCCCGGGCTTCTCTCCCTGGGGCAGCCCTAATTCATACCATAAAAAAAGTCCACTGGGTCATATAGTTTGGCATGTAGGCCAGGTCACCTTGGGCTTCTCTAGCTGGGGTGGCCTTAATCCACATCACGGGGAGCCCTGCTCAGCCCCCAGCCCGAGGCTCCCTGCTTCACAGCAGCAGTTCTCGTTGTGGGAATGACCGCCTCTTGGCCTGCTCTCGCCCCTCCTCTCAGCCTGCTCTTGCCCCTCAGGACTTACTAGGTGACTAATCTGCCTTGATTTGTGTTTTCACTCTTTCTGCCCCGAATTTCTTAGGGCTATTCTCCAGTTGTTTGAGAAAAATTGCTCGCTGTTTGCTGTTGAGAATTAAGCTAAGTTTTTCTCAGGTTCTAAATCTTTAAAAATTTACTATAGTTACTAAAATGGTGGGGTTTTTTATTGTCTAAAGAGCTTTAGCTAGGCCACTGAGTTTTTGTGGGCTGGGGATCCTGTCAGGAATAACAGTGAAGCTGAAATCCCCTTTCTGGTACCAGGAGGCTCAGGCTGAGGACCACTCCTCATATGAATGACTGATGCCGGGTCCCTCTGCTGGCCCCTCCTCTGTGAATGACTGATGCGGGTCCCCTGACCGGCCCCTCCTCTGTGAATGACTGATGCGGGTCCCCTAACCGGCCCCTCCTCTATGAATGATTGATGCCGGGTCCCCCCGCCGGCCCCTCCTCTATGAATGACTGATGCCGGGTCCCCCCGCCGGCCCCTCCTCTATGAATGATTGATGCCGGGTCCCCCCACTGGCCCCTCCTTGTATGAATGACTGATGCCAGGTCCCCCCGCTGAACCCTCTATGAATGACTGATGCCAGGTCCCCCCGCCAGGCCCTCCTCGTGTGAATGACTGATGCTGGGTCGTCCCCACCCACCACCACCAGGGCCCTCCTCTATGAATGACTGATTCCAGGCCTCCCCCCATGCCCCTCCTCTGTGAATGACTGATGCTGGGTGTCCCCTGCTGGCCCCTCCTCCTGCTGTCCTGAGAGCAGCAGGTCTCCACTCACTTTGCATTGGTACCGTGAGAAAAAGTGCTATTTTAGCTTCTTTCAGGGAAGGTGAGGCATAGAAAAGAAAAAAAAAATGACCTTACTCCTCCTTGTTTTACAGATCTTTTTGCCTCTGCCCCTAGACTCCTACGCTCCTTTTAAGGACAAAGGCTGTTGCCTTTTTTTTTGAGTTCATATTAGTTTACATCAATGTGAGATTTCAGTTGTACGTTATTTCTTGACTGTCACCATCTAGGTGCTCCCCTTCAACCCCTGTGCCTCCCCCACCCCCCTGCCCCTGGTAACCACTGAACTGTTTTCTTTGTCCGTGGGTTTGTTCATATTCCACATATGAGTGAGATCATCTGGTGTTTGTCTTTCTCAGTCTGGCTTATTTCGCTTACCATAATTCCCTCCAGGTCCTTCCATGTTTTTGCAAATGGGACGAGTTTGTCTTTTTTTATGGCTGAGTAGTATTCCATTGTGTATATGTATGCCACATGTTTGTCCAGTCATCAGTCAGTGGGCACTTGGATTGCCTCCATGTCTTGCACAGGCTGCTTCTTGTTCATCTTTGAGTCTGGCTGGGGATTTTTTTTTAAATATGGAACAAGTCACATTTGCATGCCATCCTTGTGCAGGCGCCATGCTAATAATTAATCTCTGGATTGTTCCAATTTTAGTGTATGTTCCGCCAAAGCAAGCTCTGCCTTGGAATTCATTGTGCATGTGTGTAAAAAAACATTTAAGTCCTGAAAGACGTGTGCTGGCAGGTGGAGTTAGTGGTCAGGCTAGTCCGCTTCCGCCAGCCCTGAGAGATGAAGGTCAGATCTGCTCCTTTGACGAGGTGTTTGGATACACAAGATGCAGAAGTGGAACAGTGGTCAGTGAGGGCACCTTGACGTAGCACGCTCTGGGCTCGTGGTTTGTGCCGGATGCTGTGCTGGGCTGTTGGGACCCAAAGAGGAAGGGAGGAGATGGCCCAGGGCCAGGCTTTCCCCTGAGCCCTGTCCGTAAATCCCACGTTACCACTGACGGGTGTAGGTCCTTGGGAAAGGACCTGTCCAGCTCCCTGAGCCATAGCTTCCTCATCTGGAAAGGAAGTCACAGTGTTTACCTGGAGGGTTGTGCCTAAGTGATCTACCAGTCCAGCGTTTGGCGCTGTAAGTGGGGAGACAGTGGAGGCCTTAAGATCAGTGCACTGCCCACAGACGGTCGAGGCGTGGGAGCAAGCCCTTGTATGTGCCTGAACAGCTGACCGCCGAGCTCCAGTGGGAGGCCTGTGTGCACAGGTGCTGGGGAGAGAGGCGGACAGACAGGGGCCTCGCCCAGCAGGGACCTGTGGGGCCTCCAGCAGAGGGTGGCACAACCACTACTTGGTACTGAGTCAAGACTCCTGAAGCCTTATTAAGGATTAGCTGGAACTACAGGGAACAGGACATTCCATTACAGCAGTAAGGAGTCTCTACAAGGACACCCAGACACCTCTTTTGTAGGGTTTTGGTTCCCAGTTTGCCAGAGTCAGTAGGAACTTCTGCTAATGGTGCCAAGAGGAGAAAGTCTGGAGGAGAGTTAAGTGGGTTTTTATGAAAGGAAGTCTTTTAAACTCTGATGAAGTCTGAATAAGAATAGGGCTTTGGCTCAGCGAGCATTTTCCTATGAAGCTTAGTGATGGGGTCAAGTCTGAGGAATTCAGTGGGAGCCCAGAGTGGCCCCACCCGGCCCCAGTGGGGAACCTCAGCACACTCCTGCAGCCCACCCACTGCTTCCCCAGCTGCTGCCAAACCCCACTCAGCAGGAAACCATTCCATTCCTTTCTGACTCACAGGAACACGAAACAATCAAGAAGGCCTCTACGTACTTCAAGAGGCGGGTGCATAAATACGTTCTGGAATGTGGTACTGTGGTGATAGGAAGGGAGCAGGCACGTTTAATGCTTAACGGAAAACAGGATACCAGGAAATTGACGGCTAAGTAGATGTTGTGCCTTCCTCTTCAGAAGCGTGTGTGTTCCAGGGAAATGCACTGCCTGGGTGCTGAACCTAATCAAGGGTTTATAACAGCAAAGTAACCCAGTTAGGTGTCTGCTGTCACCTTCAATACTTGTAAAAATTCTTTGTTTATATCTAGTGGCTTTGATTCCAGAATCCAGCCTCTTCTGAGCCTCCTGTGTTCATAGAGCCACTGAGCTAAATGTGACCCTGGGCATCTCATTTAATTGTCAGAACAACTTCATGAAGTTGGTAGTTTGCCCACTTCTTGCCCATGAGAGACTAGGGTTTCTAGAACTGGTCGTCGGCGGACCTGGAGAGGCCGGGGGTCTGATGCCACTGTTCTCATTACTAGGTGAAGCAGGCCCACCCTCCCTACTGTTGAAAGAAAAGTTGCTCTTTTTCACAGAAATAATTTGTGGAGTTATTGTTAATTTTTTCCTGCACCTTAATAATTGTTTTTTTAAAGATTTTATTTTTTCCTTTTTCTCCCCAAGCCCCCTGGTACACAGTTGTATATTCTTCGTTGTGGGTCCTTCTAGCTGTGGCATGTGGGACGCTGCCTGAACGTGGTTTGATGAGCAGTGCCATGTCCGCGCCCAGGATTCGAACCGACGAAACACTGGGCCGCCTGCAGCGGAGCGCGCGAACTTAACCACTCGGCCACGGGGCCAGCCCCTACTGCACCTCAATTCTGTTCCTTTACTTTGAAATAACTCCATGATGTATCTGAGTTTGGCAGTTATTTTTTTTTATCTATCAATTGGAGAGTAATGCGTAATGATGTAAAGATGTTTAGGAGAAATTTAAAGAGTGTTGGATCTACCGCATGAAATCTGACAGACTGTGTGGGAAATCTCACTGGCTGTGCTTCTCTTTACATTTTTCTCGAAAAGGTTCTGGGGGAAAGCTTTCATGTTAACAAGGCACAGTCTCTAAGGCGTATTATTTCTTCTGCATCAGGATGGAATGGGAAGGAAAAGTAGAGTCCATGATGTGACGGTTGTGTCGGCTGTTGACGGTGGAGCCGTTAGAAAAACGCAGCTCTCATTAAAGAATTACAGCAGAAATCAGTCTGAGTTCCTTAAATTCCTCTGTGGTTGTAACCGTCCATATTTAGGGTGAATGGAGTGAGGAGATCCAGCGTCCGTTGTCCTAGATTAGTGGTATTCTAAGTGTGGCGCCCTCACAGCAGCATGAGCACTACCTTAGAATTTGTTACCGAGCCCAGGTGAGGCGAGATGAGTCTTCCTGCCGAGGGGTGGAGCAGTTGCCATGGATGTTGCTCCATCCAGTCCCATCAGGATGAGAACCAGGTAACCGGGATGTTTTCCTCCTTGTAACTCACTCTGGATTGTTAAACTGACAGCACCGTTTTTGCGTTTGTAAAAATACTGATTGACTGTTAACACTGATAGTAGTAACAGGACAATCATTACAGGTTAATAGTAGTTAATAAGCCCAAGAAATGTTAGATAATTTTTATGTGATGTGTTTCTTCCATTTCTTTGTCCTTTGAATGACAGGCTAAATAACGACTGTCTGTCTCGGGCTGTTTCTTCAGGTTAAGAACGTGTCTGCAGGCTCCCAGGACATGCCTCCTCCCCCTTCTGACTACGTGGAGCGAGTGGACAGCCCCGCGGCCTACTCCTCCAACGGGAAAGTCAATGACAAGCGCTCGTACCCAGAGTCTTCCTATAAATCGACCCCGTAAGTAGCACCTTCCTCTTCTGACAGAATGAGTCTGAGATATGAATATTTGCACGTTTACACATCGGTTGCTGTTTTGTGCCGTGCACCTTGCACACAGGCTGGAGACTGGCCTTTGTCTTGCAGGTGGAGGCCTGGGGCTACTTGGAAGATGGGGAGGGCGGGGTCTTCTTCCCCTTCGAGTGCTGCTGTTCTCTGCTGACCTAATAGAGAAAGGGCGGGTCCCTTCGCTCCAGGAAGGTGGCTCTGTCCTCTGTCTCATGTTGAAGTTCAGGTGAAGGGATGACATTACTGACTGAGCACAGAGCTAAGTGTGGTTCTCAGTCTTTCCTTTTACTCTAATTATTAGGTCTCATCAGTAGAAGGGGGAAATCACTCATTGATCAACCCCTACCCACACACGTTTTTATTAGACTTGAAGACTTCATTTGAATCCAGAAACTCTTGAGATCTCATTTGCTGTGCATACATCTGGGGGCATGAAACTGAAAAAGCCTCTAGGTTTTGTTTTAGATGCTGTGTAAACGCCTCACTGGGAGTTTCTGGCCCAGAGGAGGTGCCATTACAGTTACTGAAGTGGATCCCCAGTGAGGGTTAATTTAACCTAACGCGAGCTCTACTTCAGCCTGATGACTAGTGAGAGAAGCACGTTGGAGAGAATGTTAAGGATTGCATGTAATTTTTGCCTACGAATGATAAGCTAGTGTTCCTGTGTATAATTCTGGAACTCCAAATTCCTTTGTAGACCAAAAAAATAGACTTCCCTTTGGCAGGTTTGATTGTTCTAAGTCAAAGGTGTATCTGCTGAAAAACTTCTTCTTTCTTCAAAGTTCTGTCTCGATCCCCCGCCTCCATTTAGTGGGCCTGGTTATGCAGAGAGCCACTCTGCGTGCACAGCGGTGTGGGCGCCTGGGACCCATAGGATGGCGCCAGCGGCTGAGTTAGTTATGGAATCGGTTTGAGGATAGTAGGTTTTAGTATTACCCTGGAATGGAATTTGGAAACAGACTTTTTGTTTCTGTCCAGTGGGTAAACTGTAAACTTACTTCGTTAGTCCCAGGTTGATGCACACTTTTCCCCAATGTTCTGTTACTACCAACCACCACAGGGAATAAACGTGTCACTTGGCACACATGTGAATCTATCTGGAGGGAATATGCTAACAGGAGACTTGCTGGGCTGAAGGAAATTTTGATAGATGTTTCGTTTTGTGTTTCATTTTGGTAGCTGTGGTCAAATTGTCCTCCATACGGGTTGTCCCAGTTTCTACTCCCCACCTGCACTCCTGAACTTGGGAAGTCTGGAAAACGCACATGTGGTGCTCAGTTTTAGAACCAGAAGAAGGGGAGGATGGGGTGGTGCTGAGGGATACGAATGCGACAGTATCTCCCATGGCACCTGACACATGCAGGCTGGTGGACTCCGGGGTATAGTAGAAATTGTCACGTTATGTGCAGCAGGGGACCGAGTGCTGTGGGGTTCAGAGTACATCCAGCTGGACCCGGCGGGATGCCCACTAATTGTAGCCTGGCTTTCCTCGAGCCCCGTGGCCCACGAGCACCTCTCCTCCTTGTATTGCAGTGGATAGAGAGGAATTAGAAGGGGAGCGTTGTGTCTGAGGGCCACGTTAAACAGGAGGGACCTCAGGACTAGGATTTTTCCCCCAAAGCGTAGCATCCCTTCAATAACAAGCACTAATCTTGAGTCTACAGCTCAATGAGTTTTCACATCTGTGAATGCCGAGTAACCACCTCCAACCGAGAGAGACATTCATGCTGCCCAGAGGTCCTCTTGTGCCCTTTTTCTGTTGGTCCCCACATCCCCCATGACTGTGATGATGCCTGTCAGCATCTGTTAGTTTAGCTTCTTATTGGAGGTGTTGTAAATGGAATCGTATGGTAATTACTCTCATGTCTGCCTCCTTTGCTCATCACAGTGTCCTATACCTTAGAATTTCAAGACAGACAGAATTCATCCTGGATTAGGAGACGGGAGAATTTAGCTAAAGATGGTTGCTTCTCCACCCCTTCTAAGTGAATGTAGGAAGCCCTATCAGGTGCACTCTCTACTATCCTGTCTACACCCAGGGTGAATTAACCTTTGTAAATCAAGGAAGCTGAATGTTGGCTGGCACCTTAGCGTGCCAAATGAGACTATTGTTCAGTTCCAGTAAATAGGCTGTAAGATAACGTGTTGGAACTGTTACACAAATCACAGGAATTCACTGGTTCACATAAGGCCCAGGGATGGCCTGACTTCAGGTGTGGTGTGATCCAGGGGCTCAGACCATATCAGGACTCTTATTGCTGCACTGGATTTCTTCTCAGTAGAGCTTCTGCTATAGCAGGGTGGTCGTCCACGTTTCCCACGCTGTGCTCATCTTCCAGCCCAGAGTTCAGAAAGTAGAATTTCCTTTCTCAAAGCTTACATATCAGATCTATTGGAAAGATTCTGATTGGCCCTTTTTGGGTCATTGTCATCCCCGAGACCAGGAAGATGGAATTCTATGGTTGGCAAGGCTTGGCTGTTCCCCCCAAGTAATGGTGGCAGTTCTGAAATGCCACACACGTAGTGGCCATCATTCTGACGGTCAGACACTGATGTTGGTCAAACATTGTTTCTCTTCCCTCACCTATACTGGGTGTCGTGGGAAAAGAGGATTGTTGTGAATGTGTCTTCAGTTCAGGAATTACATTGAACACCTGCCGTGTGCACGGCAGTGAGCCGGGTGTCCTGGGGTGCCCTGTCCATGTTCTCATGGAGGATGCTGTCGGATGGGGGCCGAGGAAAGCCCACAGTTACTGCCCTCAGAGTCAGGGCGAGACAGGAGTGGCAGAGGGTAAAACCAGTGAACAAAACGGAAGAAATTCAAAAGCTACAAGAGGGCCTGGACCTTCCGGACCTGGGAGCTGGAGTCAGAGACTGAGGAGATAGACGCTGGTTGCCTCTTGTGGGGTGGGCGGATTTTGACCTAATAGGACTTGTAGCTGAAAGTAGGTTTGAAAATGATTGGGAGCGCGCATATTCCCACACTCAGGTTTGTGCATGCTCCCCTTCCCGGGCATGTGGGTTTCACTTTCATGCTGTGTCAGGTCTGTTACCGTCCAGTGTCTCAAAGGTGCAGGAAGATGGGAGGCGGGAACCTGCGGGGGACGATTTCTAGCATCAGTCTCGAACACAAGGGTGGGCCGTGTCTTTCCCCTCTGCCCCCGCCCCATGAACCCCCTGCATTCTGAAGGTTTGTTTGCCACCTCAGGGCGAGAAGCATAGGACCGCGCGGTTTGGGCAGAGTGTCTAGGAACTTGCTAATCATTGACTCAGGGAGAAGGTCACGGTCTCCCTTTTTTAGAAGCAGCATTAACAGCACCCTGTGCCACGTTGACCTGAATAAATTTAGAAAGAAGAAATAAATACCACCGCCCCCAAACTACATGCACATCCTAAAGCTTTAGGAGTGTACAAGAAATTAACAAGTGTGATTAAAATCTAAGACTTTGACAACACCGAGCATCAAGCACTTCTGCATCATCTAGGAGATGGTGAACCTTGTAGTCAGAGCTCAAGATATGGCTCCTATAAGTTGAAAGCAGTAAGGTGAGGAAGATGGGCCCTGAGCTAACCTCTGTGCCCATCTTCCTCTATTTTGTACCGGATGCTGCTACAGCACGGCTTGATGAGCGCTGTGTAGGTCTGAACCTAGGAACTGGGCCGCTGAAGCGGAGTGCGAAAACTAAACCACTACACCACCGGGCCGGCCCCTTCAGATGTTTTTAATAGTTGATTTGAATATGAGGCTGCCTTCGGGAGGTCTCAGCGCTTTCTCTGTGTTCTTTCATTTCATTTCTCATCCTTCTCCAGCTCTGCTACTGGGGAAGGATAAGCTTTGCATTCCTGTTACTCAGAGTATACAGTCAACACAGCTTTCGGTGTTTTAGTTCATGTTAGACTTTGTTTGCATGCTTGTGGCAGAAACGTTATATGCACTTAAAAATCTGATGCAATATTCATTAGTTGCATTAGAAAAATAAGTGTAATTCTTTTCCATTCCATTCATTCTACATGGCTTCAGGATTAACATAGCAATTTTAAAAAGAAGTCTTAATGGGCTCTTTAATCTATTACGATATAAAGCTTTTTAGTTTTTTGGGATTCTGTTTTCTTTAGCTAAAACTTTTTGGTTTTTTTAGTTTTTCAAGATTGTATCTTGAAAAGAGACTTGCTATGTAGGAGTCTAGTATTACAAAGAGCTTATCTCTGAGAGTCAGCTTTGAAAGGTAGGTATGTGTGTGCGTTCCTCCTCTCCACACAGCATTCCATGGAACTGGAAGAACCTGTCTGAAAGACTCGCGGTCATTATTTTCCTGCCAGCCTTTTGTGGAGTTAGCCTCTGGCGCAGGGCCGCTCAGCACCTCTTCCAGATCAGCCCAGACTTCCTAAAGTGAGATGTTAGGTCCATTTCACTTAGAAGGCTTACACATGCTCCCCTTCTGGGGGAACCTTAAAGCGCCCCGTGTGCATCAGAGGGTCTGCACTGGCGCCGAGCTGGATGCAGGAAGCAGGGATCTGCTCCCTGTTGCGCTGCAAACCGCTCGGGTGCGCGCATCTCCGCGTGGGCGCCTCCGTGCTCATGTCACTCCTCTGATTGCAGTGCCCTGGGCAGGTGCTGTGGTGTACCCAGATCACTGAGAAACGGTCTCTGTTTTATTAGGGTGCCTGAAGTGGTTCAGGAGCTTCCACTGACTTCAGCTGTGGACGACGTCAGGCAGCCTCGGTACAGCAGCAGTGGTAACTTTGAGACGCCTTCAAAGAGGGCGCTCACAAAGGGAAGAGCCGGAAAGTCAAAGAGACCAGAGCAGGACCACTACGAAACCGACTACACGACCGGCGGCGAGTCATGCGACGAGCTGGAGGAGGACTGGGTCAGGTACGCGTGCCCTGCCTGCCGGAGCGCCTAGCGTGAGCCAGCCAGGTCTGGGAGCTGCTCCTCCTAAACTGGGGTGGGTGCTATGACTTCATTTTTAGCGGGCAGGACTGGAGACAGTTTTTGTTAGGTTTTTCCGTTAGTACGCTTTCATAATAAAGAGTGACGTGGAGGGATGTGTTTGGCTGTCACCCCGTCTTAAAAACACATCCACCGTCCCCCACGTAGCCGATAAGCCTCACCAGAGCCCTTACTTTACCAGCAGTCACCTGAGAAAGATCTTTGCTGTAAATAAGATGCACGTGTAGAGGACCTTTGTTTACCGATGATCATATCCCCAGAGCAGGGCTGTGGCCCTCCTTGGGCGTTCACTTGTCAGTTAAGCTTTCACGATGAGACCAGAGATTCTTTTAAAAGTTTAATCCAAAGGACTTAGGCAAACAGCTTTGTAAACAACTGAGTTGATCCGTGTTCAGCCACGGTGGTGGTATTGTGAGTCCATCACTACCACTATACTCATGTCTGACGTGCAGCCTCCTTGTGCGCAAGTCTTCTGAGGAACGGGACACAACTCAGAACGTTTGTGGCATGAATGGTGGTTCATCACAGTATTGCTTCTCGAGGAGGCGGGAGGGGGTGGCACATGGAGCTCAAAGTCCGTGCTCGCTGCTGGTTCTCTTACCTCGCCTTCTCCTCCTCCCCCGAGAGTTTTTGGCCAAGTTCAGGCATCTGTCTGTAAACTGTTTGCCTAACTTGTATCGTGGGAGATTTAAAGGAAAACTTTCAGGAATCCTGAATTCTTGTTTCCCTTTTGAGCAAATCATTTAAGTTCTCTCCTCTGTAAAATGAAGATGTTAGACTGACTTAGATCTAAAATTTGAGTTCTGTATTGCTATGAAGTTCGTTAGTCCTGTGAAACAATTCAGAGTATTTTGTCAGTGGATTATGGGTTAATAGTGTCACCTCCACATGGAAAGAGTAGCTGGAATGTTGAGAGATACAAGTGAGACAGAATTTCAGGGTTTTTTCCATAGTTTAATGCATTGCCAGGTTATTTTTACAATGAGCATGCATTTTTATACAAGTGAATTTTAGTGTCTACCATTATAATCAAAGGACTGAAAATAGCTATTTCCACTTTGGAAAAACAAGATGAAGACCAAAAATACCCAAACAGTCTGAAAACTGTAGGTGGTAGCAGAAGAGCCAGCCGCCAGTCAGCTGCTCTGTCGCTGCAGTGATAAAAACATACTTTGTGTCCAGAATTCCAGTTTTAAGACTTAAACATAAATATTCCTTTACCATATGATGTTGTATGTTCAGAATAAATGAGTTCCTATGACTTGAATCTTAAATTTCATAAATGGTTTTCAACTTTATTTCTAAACATTATGGAGGCATAGTTTTTTTAAAAAAACATGAGCAGTGATGTATATAGTGTCATCGTTCTTAAGAGAACTTGTGTGCATCCCGCCCTCGTGCGCCCATCAGCAGCAAAAAGAAGACAAGAGAATGTCATTCTCACTTTTCACCAGCTTTGTTATCTTTGAGGAGGACACACTGGATTTTATGTCTGCTGGGGATATATAAGGAGTCATTTTCTCACTCAATTTTTAGGGAATATCCACCTATCACTTCAGATCAACAAAGACAGCTCTACAAGAGAAGTTTTGACACTGGCCTGCAGGAGTACAAGAGCTTACAAGCTGAGCTCGATGAGGTCAACAGAGAGCTCTCTCGTCTGGATAAAGAACTGGACGACTACAGAGAAGAAAGCGCAGAGTACATGGTAAATTCACACTTGACGATTATCGATGACGTGTAATCTTACTCCACTCTATGGAGATACAGTATCCTTTATGCTAATGTCGATACAAATTTGCTGGTAATTATCAGACTGTAATTTCATTGAAGAATAATTGAAATTGAGTCTTGGATGAAAGTCTTTCCAAATTGAAGGGTGCTGATGTAATTAACAATTCCAAAGCAATAGTCTATGTACAGACATCCCTTCCTCTTTAAAAGAAAACAGCTATATTACTTTTTCTATTTGTAAACACAGTTCATTCTTTCTATAAAAAATTGGGATAATACAGAATTGCATACAGGAAAATAAATTGCCTTAAATTCTGCCACCTAGTTGTCACCAAAATATTAGTTGTTAAGCTGTCCCGTCCATGCAAGACTGGACACACACGGTCTTCTACACTGAATCATCTTGTGTTTTATTGTTATCCTTCCTACTCTTTTACTCCATGATAGTTTTTTTTCCCTCGATCACCTGTTGAGGTAGTATTTATCTAGGTAAAGTTACTCTTTTATTTTTTTTAATTTTTTTATTGGTGAGGAAGATTGGCCCTGAGCTAACATCTGTGCCACTCTCCCTTTATTTTGTTTTTCTGTATGTGGGACGCTGCCACAGCATGCCTTGATGAGCAGTGTGCAGGTTTCCTCTCGGGATCCAAACCTGCGAACCCCAGGCTGCTGAAGCAGAGTGCGCGAGCGTAACCGCTACACCACCGGGCCAGCCCCTACTCTTTTCTTCTTAATCCCTCTTTCCATGCTGCACTCCTTGGAAGGCAGTCGCTGTGCATGGATGGCACTTAAGGAGTGGGGAGTTATGCTCCAGCTCTTTAAAGGCACTGGACCTGCACAGATTGTTTGGAATTTTTCTGCATGGGAAATTTGTCACTTCCTGCCATGTGTTTATCTATTTATTTAGTCCGTCTTTTACATCAGTATGGACTCATGGTATCTGTTTTATACTGTGGCGTATAATCAACACCACTTTATGTTGTTGCTCGAATTGTTACAGCTTTGACTGTTGGGAACGCTTTCAGTTGCCTCCCGTGTTGTAGCCCCATCATTGTGGGGGGTTTTCTTTTTCAGTACTTCCTGGCACTGCTTATATCCTGCTTTTTTTACTCAACAATAGTTTGTTTTCAATTCACATGAATGAAAAGATCTACTTACTGAAAGAATATTTTTATAGCTACACAATTTTCGTTCCTATGGCTGTGCCATAATTTCCTTGAAGTTCCATTTATAGAGGGTGACTCTGAGGTGGTCTTCCCCCAGCACACACACGCACACCTGCCCCAGTAACACCCTGGGAGCCTCCTTATCTCTGTACTCTTGGCTGCTTATCTAGCCAGAACGTGAAGTATCTGAGTCAGAGATGATGTACATTTAAAGTTTTGTTGCAAAACTGCCCCCCAGAAAGATTATGCCAGCTGCATTCCTGCTGGCTATGCTCTTGAGGGCCCATTTGACCCACAGCTCACTAACTTTTTGTGCCTGAAAAATGACTGCCTTGTGTCTTAGATATTAGTAATTAAACTTTTTTCATCACTTCATATTGATTTTACTAAAACCCTTTGCCATTTTTTTTTTTAAAGGCTGAGTTGTTTGTTTTTGTTTTTTGCTGGGGAAAATTGGCCCTGAGCTGACATCTGTTGCCCATTCCCCCTCCCCTTTTTTTTTCTCCCCAAAGCCCCAGCACACACCTGTATATTGTAGTTGTAGGTCCTTCTAGTTCTTCTGTGTGGGACGCTGCCACAGCATGGCCTAACAAGTGGTGTGTGGGTCTGCACCCGGATTTTGAACCGGCAAACCCCGGACCACCAAAGTGAGTGCATGAACCTAACCACTTGTCCACAGGGCTGGCCCCCCGCTTTGCCATTTTTAATTGAGGTGATCTGCTTTTCAGTTTTGCAGTATTTGCTTTCTATATAGTCTGTCTTCTCTCATGGCTTCTGTGTGGCGTCATCATAAACCTTCTCAACTCAGTGAATGTTTGTTGATCGTGATTGTGTCCCTGATGATGTGGAAATGCTGAGGTTAGAAACATAAATAAATCCGTCTCTGCCCTCGAAGAGCTCTTGTTGTAGGAGAGAAACTGGCACCTAAACCGCTGGACGACGTGACTGGTGCTGTGTTCACAGTAGTGCCGGCGGCACTGTCACTAACAGCTCAGAAGGAATGGAGTCCGCGGGGGGCCAGAGAGTCTAGGGCAGGCTTCACTGGGAGGTGACCATTATGAGCTCCCCAGACAGCAGGGGACTGGGTGCATGAGTACGGCCATAAGGAGAACATGGTAGAAACCTGGAAGCACCGGCATGCTTAGATTTAAAGGATTGCAAATGACGGGCACTGAGAATGGAAGGGGTAGGAGACTAGGTTAGTAGAGAAGTTATTGGGGAGCTCAGCCCAGTTCTAATGAGACTACCCTGGTTGGAGCTGTGCCTGACAAGACTGTGGTGTCGGCGGGTGCACGACCTGGCACGGGGGGAGCTGAGAGGCAGCGGAACGACGGGTACTGGCCTGCACGGATAGAACGTGGGAAATAGCTTACTGCTGTGAATGTCTCTTTACCGGGTCCCTTCGGGCCCTCCTGCTGACCACAACACTTTTAAGAGCTTTAAGACTTTCTCTTAATTCCCTATATTTTTGTCATCAACTAGCATTTTTAGCTCCAAAATACAACATCAGGAATGTTATTTTTGAAAGAGGAAATGCCCCACTAAGCATATTCCTTTGTGTTTCTCATAACAGGCTGCTGCCGATGAATACAACAGGCTGAAGCAAGTGAAGGGGGTGAGTATTCGCGTTGTAAGATTCTTTGAGGAGGAAGTGCTAGTGATGTGTTTCCCTTTTAACCTTTAGAATGACTGTGAATCCCCGGTCACACCTGCACTGATTATAGACAGAAGGCCCTGTAATTGCAAGAGGAAAACTGTAACTGAGAAGCTGGAACCTTAATTTCGGTCATTTGCAGCTACAACCGATACTGATTTTTTTTAACTTTTTTTTAAGTTGAGGTGTGCATACAGAAAAGTAGACAAATCATAGGTGTACAACTTGGTAAACTTCCACAAAGCAGCCACACACCTTTGCCTGGCACCCAGATCAAGAAATCACATCCTAGGGGCCGGCCCCATGGCCGAGCGGTTAGGTTCACATGTTCTGCTTCAGTGGCTCAGGGTTTCACCGGTTCGAATCCTGGGCACGGACGTGGCACCACTCATCAGGCCATACTAAGGTGGTGTCCCACATGCCACAACTAGAAGGATCCACAACTGAAATATATGCACCTATGTACAGGAAGGATTTGGGGCGAAAAAGCAGGAAAAAAAAATGAAGAAGATTGGCAACAGTTATTAGCTCAGGTGCCAATCTAAAAAAAAAAAAGAAATCACATCCTAATTGCCCTTGTATTGCATTCCAGTTTTCACACTCACCCCAGAGGTACCTAAGTTCTAACATCCTTCGTTCTAACATGGTCGAGTAGTTTTGCCTACTTTGAACTTTATATAAATGGGAATCCCACAGTATGTATTTAGAGTGTGATTTCTTTTGCTCGGTATTACATTGGTGAGACCCATTCGTGTTTTGGTGTACAGCTGCGGTCCGTGTTTATGGGTGTCTATGCACACGTGCACACGTTTGTTAGGTTTATACTTAGGGGTGAAATTGCGGGGTCACCTGGCACGTGTGCATCCAGCCCTGGGTCGGCACTGTCGGACAGCTTTCCTGCTTTGTGTAACACATTCCCACCAGGCAGTGTAGATTCCAGTTGCTCCTCATCCTTGCCAACACTTGGCATCACCAGTCTTTATGGACTTAAAACATTTTTTGTTTTTAAAAGATTTTATATTGAATTTTTTTAAATTGCAGAACATTATGATTTAAAAGCAGGAGTTTAGTAGGGCACATAGCAACCTTTCCTGTCTCAGCCTCCTTCACCAGTTCCCTTTCCCAGGTCAACCCATATCATCAGTTTCTTGTTGTACTGATTTTTTTTAGGTAACGTATTAGCAGAAAGGCCAGTAAGTTTTCTTGGTGACTTTACAAATCATTAGAAATAAACGTATCCTTTGTCAAACCCAGGTTAGAAGACCCGAGAGAGCAAAGAGAATTAGCCACCCGTGTGGTCCGAGATGCTGCCACAGGTGTGACTCCATTTAACACCCCCAGCAATTCTATATACTAATATTCCCCTTTGTCTCTTCACCTCTGCCTTCCCAGCGGCTGACACATAACTCGTTTTTATCTTGTTCAATTTACCTGGTTCATTTCTTTTCCTTTTCAGTCTGCAGATTACAAAAGTAAGAGGAATTACTGCAAGCAGTTGAAGAGCAAATTGTCGCACATCAAGAAGATGGTTGGAGACTATGACAGACGGAAAACCTAGGAGGCAGTCGCCACACCGAGAGTAAGATGAAGCGGGCGTCTCTGTGGTGTTGGCAGAGGCAGATGACTCTGGACTGACCGGGAGCCCAGGCCTTTGTGATCATAACAGAGTGCTGGTAGCTTTAATATGACAGTATTGATGCATTTTATAAATAGCTTTTGATAATCAACTGGGCTGAACACTCCAATTAAGGATTTCATGCTTTAAACACTGGTTCTTGTATTAAGAACTAACTGTGGTTTGAGGTCTTTAACCCTTTGAGGAAGGTTCCGGAGAGAACTGTGCTGTGAACTTTCATATCCTGGGCGGTCGCGTCGTTGTATCTGAGTGCTCCTCAGTTCGCATCGGTGATCCTGTTAATCCTCCCAGAGTCCTCCCTTCGCATCACGGTCATTCGTAATCACTCCTGTTTAAATGAGGAGCGTGGGTCCCTGCAGTGACGTCTCTGAAGGGCACAGCCTGTCGGCCAGCTCGCACTTTGGGTCAAGTCTGTTCTCCGACTCACTGAGCAGTCCCTGGCCTTCCATATTTTAGCTACTATGACGTTGTGTTCTACCACCCTCCCTACTGATTTTTTTCTGTGTATAAATGGTTAAAGAAGCTTTTTATTGTTTTACGTTATCCAGGTGAAAGATCATGTTAAAGTAACAAATTGTGAAATTTAAAGATTGTAAATATACATTGACTTTTTAAATCAGAATTTAAACCTACTGGTTAGAATTTTCTGTATTTTTAAATACTTTTTAATCTTTTTATGGTTTACATACGTTTTTTCTTAACCAACTAGGCTTTTTCATTTATCAGAGTATCTGATTACATTTATAATTCAACTGTGACTTGAATTGTATCTCACAAGAATGTTCAAGTTCTGTACATATTTTATAAGGTATTAAACCTGGGGTTTTCTTCCTATAATATACCTGTTTGACGTCGTTAGTGCTGTTCATACTAAGCTGTCGAAAACTACACTCATCAGTTGTATCTGTTGCTGTTTTAATCTGTCTTGGGTGCTGTGCTGGTTGCTGGATTCCTGGTCCTTTGGCTGTAAGATGGCCGATTGGTCTTGAAATGGAATACAAAACACCACAAAACACCAAATTACTTCAAATGGTGCCCTTAAATCTCAGCACATTTTTTTTTAATTCAAATTTTTATTAAGTAAAATTAGCTGATAACACTGGGCATGTAGCTGGTAGCCAAATTGATGTGATTATCCCCCAGTTTAGAACTCTTTTCTTTGAAAATTTTTTAAAGAATAATCTTTAAATCATTGGTGTGCAATTCAGGCAGTTACGTATATAATTTTTTATATACAAGTCTGAATCATTGTCCAAAGATAAATTTTTAAATCTTTCCATTATAACACTGATTCATTCTTCAAATTGAAGAAATTCTTAATTTTCCATGTGCTGTACATACTTACCACAAAAGATAATGAATAGTTTATGTTTTTTATCCTTTTTGGATTCAAACCAAATGGTAAGGACTCTTGAGCAACTTGACTGATTTTTATGTATTAAAGTATAATCTCTTGTTCTCTGAAGTCAATGTACTTAGTTTACAAAGGCAAGCTTGCCATGTTCTGACAAAACAAAAACTATTCAGTGGAATGCAAAAAATCAAATAGCGTGTTCGTGTTGTAAAATTGTGCCATAAAATTGGACTTTAAAATAAAATAAGAAAATCATTTTTCAAATGTGGTACACTAGAGACCACTTCAGGGGCCAGCCCCATGGCCTAGTGGTTAAATTCGGCATGCTCTGCTTCAGTAGCCTGGGTTCTGTTCCCCAGTGCAGACTTACACCACTCATCAGTGGCCACGCTGTGGTGGCGACCCACATACAAAACAGAGGAAGGTGGGAACAGAAGTTAGCTCAGGGCTAATCTTATTCAAGTGAAAAGAGGAAGATTGGCAACAGATGTTAGCTCAGGGTGAATCTTCCTCAGCAAAAAAAAAATACAGACCACTTCAGGAGCCAGCATCAGAGTGTTTCTGTTGGGGTTGGCATTAACTAGCTAGATGTAACTTTGAAAAGCCACTCGAGCAGTTTTCTAGTCTGAAAAATAAGAAGTTTCAGTTAGATTTCAGAGGTCTCTTTCGTCTCTGATCTTCTGTGATTCTTATGTCTACATCCTGCTTTCTGCTATAAACCATTGTTCCAGAGATTTTGTGGAAGCATGTGGTCCATCTGGTGAAGGTTCTTTCCATAGAGTGAGTCCCTTACATGTGTGATTCTGTATTAAAAGTATATAAGATCAGTATTTTTATTTCTATTTTGAAAAATTGAAAGAAATATGAAAAACTATAAGCAAACATGTACCCACCACCTAGAAATAACGTATTAGTTTTATCATATATACTTTGTATTTCTTGAAATAAATGTATTAGTATTTATAGTCCAAGTTACATTGTACACATATACACTTGAAATATCGTTTAATCCTTACAACAGTCCATTGATGTGTAACCGTTTCTCGTTCCCATTTACAGACAAGGAAACATGATTTGATGGGTTAACTGGTCCATGGTCACACAAGCAAGTGACTAAGCTAGGATTGGAATCTAGCTTAGATTCTGTCTGTTGGAATATTAGGTTCTATGCTCCATTCTAGGTTGACTTTGTTAATAAATTAATGGGTGGGGTTCCTGTTTGATGTTAATAAAATATCCTATTTTGAGTGCATTTTAAGTACTTCTCATTACATAACATGCTTCCTCTGAACTATCTGAAGGATATATGTGTAAAGACGGGTTGGGCGGAAGGGTTCTGTAATCGTGGCTCCAGGACCTTCGCTTCGGTTGGGGCTGTGGGAGGTCCTCACACACGTTCTCCTGCTGCAGCGCTGTGACTGGAAGCGTCTCCTCTGGACATTGGGGAAGGCTCAGCTGGAGCTGTCAGAATGTGATCTCACCATGTGACCTCTGATAGGACAGGACAGAAGATTAGATGGAGGACTGCATCATCCTTCCTGCATTTCATTCTGTCAGCATTTCTCCTAACGGGCATAGTTTTCCTGAATAAAAATGCCCAAGTAAGTTCGGTAGTTTTTAGAAAACACTGTGTTAAAATAATGCCACTTTGGAGTTAGGACATAGACGCATAGTCATGATTGTGTGTGTGTATGACTGCAATAAAATGTGGAAGAGTATCCTAAAAAAGATTTCTGGTTGCTGCCACAGGCCTGCTTGCTCTCCCCTGTGTGTGTTGTCCTATTCTTGCTTTGCTCTCCAGCAATCACTTGCTGTGTGACCTTGGACAAATTACTTAGCCTTCCTGTCCATCAGTGTGCTTGTTTGTTGAGATGTTTGTACTTAATCTCATAGCTGTTAGGAAGGTAGTTAATGTGTGACTTACAATAGTCCTTGTCAGAAAGTAATATATGGCTAGTTAGACCTATTTCCCAAAGCCAGAAGGTGAAACTTTAAACAACTTTTTCAAAGGCAAATTCTATTTTAAAAGTATATTTATCGTCCCAATCCCCACATGCTTCGTCTGCTGGGTGCAGCTGTAGGGTGTAAATTCGTTTGAATTCTTGACAGATAACTGCATTAGGCTGGGCATACTCATAGATGATGAACAAATGCTGTAAAAGACAAATTACATATCAAGATAAGGATTATTAGATACTGTTTGAAGCGATTGTGGAGGTTTTGAATGATTTAGTGTCCATCTAAAGGTACTACAATAGGCAGGTTTGCCTCTCCCAGTCCCTGAAGTGGCACAACTTGAATTTCAGCTTGACTCCACTGGCTGAGCTGCTCATGAATTTCCTAACTCGGTGGACTGTGTCAGCCACCCATGGGCGAAGAACAGATTGTGCCATTCTTTATAGTTGTTCCTTAGTTTTACAAGTTGGAACATCTGGCTAGGTTGGATCACTTTGTTATACCACTTTATGCACAGTTAGAATATTGTGTCAGTCATGATTATGGAAGGGATCACCACAGGTGTACGCGTTTCGTTTTGCCTTAGGACCATTACCTAGCTGAGTCACGACCTGTGACTAAAATCTATACGGAGGAAAGTAAACTTCACAGGTGGGAAAAGCTTGAATGATTTAGCCTCTCCACAAATACGCTTCAATTTAATTTTATTGGGGAGTCCACTGTCCTTTTCCTGGTTTTCCGTTGAAATTGTTTTTTTTCTCCCAGACTGCTAGTAAGTATTAAGCGAGACGTTCGGGGCTTGGGGTTGCGGCTGTCCTATAGGAACGCATCCCTCTAACAGAACGGCCAATCAGAACGGAGGAAAAAGGAAGTGTGGAGTTTGTGGATGGAAGGGAGGGTGGAAGGGAAAGGAGAAAGCGTGGAGTTTGCGTGAGTCTCCGCAGGAGTCACGGAGGCGGGGAGGCCGGGAGGAAGACATCGGCGATGCCCATCTCCCTCCCCTCCCTCTCGCCGACAAGGCGCAAACTAAGGGGGACCCCGTCTTCTGGGGAGAAATGAGGGGCTGGCTGCGGAGCCGCCACTGATGGTGAGCGCTGTAGGGCAGGTGGCCCCCATTTCATAGCTGAGACTTGGGTGTTACTCGCTTAGAGGCAGAGCCCGGTTTCAAACCCAGGTGTGATCTTTGCACCCCCGCGCAGGATGGCTCCTCTGTGATTTTGGGGCAGGACCCCCGAGAAGGTGGAGGCGCGGGCCGCGGAGGGGCGCAGGTGGGGCGGGGAGCAGGCTGCAGCGCCGCCCTTCTTCTCGGCGCGGGAAGCCGGACACCACGGCCGCCGGCAGGCCCCGAGTCCGCTCCGCGCGGCCGCCGGAACGTTTACGCGGGCCCCCGCCCCGCGCACGGCGGAAGGACTTGGGCGGCGCCCTCAGAGAGGGTTGGCGGGACTTCCGGGCGGAGCGGCTTCCGGCGGGCCTGGTGAGTGCGCGGGCGATTCCCGCGGCGGCGGCGGCGGGAGAGGGGCGTCGGGGGGCGGGCCCTGCGGGGGGCCGCCTGCTGCCGTCCCTCAGGCCGAGTGCGGCTCGCGGCCCGCGGCCTCACTGGTGTCCCCCCCGCAGCCGTCGCCCGGAGACCCGGCCGCCTGGGCCCGCGAGTCCCCGGTGCCCGCGGGGCGCACTGTGAGGGGCCTCTCGGCGGGGTGGGCGCGTGCACGTGCGGGGGCGGCGGCCCCGGGGCGGCCCCGCGCGGGGACCCGAGCCTGAGAGCCGGCCGCGCGGTGATGCACGGCTTGCGCAGGAGACAGAGGCCGCCTGCCTGGAGGGTCAGGCGTCCGGGGTGGCCGCCGTGTCGCCGCACGCGTCGTGAACCCGCGGGCGCCAGCGCGGTCGGCGTGGGGAATAGCGCGGGCGTTAGGGTTAAGCCCCTTCTGCTGCTGCGGGGTGCTGGAGCGGGTCACCGGCTCCCCGCAGCGGGGTCTCCAGCCCCGGGCTTGGTGTCTTAGTGACACGCCGGACTTGAGCCGGTGACCCGGGACAGCGGGGCCGCGGGGAGCTGCGATGCAGGGAAAGCCATGTCCCTCTTATCAGTGGGTTTGAATTCCGGGAGTCCATTCATAGGTCAGTTCTTTAGATCTGTAAATCTGTAAATCTATAACAGCAATGTGTAATGGAGGGTCAGGTCTTGGTTCTGGTCCTCATCACAGTTAGTCTTCGCCCCCCGGGGTGGGGTTTCTTCTGTCCTTGTGGTCTTGGCACTTGGTTCCTTTACGGAGGAAGGAAGCTGAGAGTGGAGCGTGGGGTGGGGATGTTTATTGCTTGGTTATGGTTAGTCGGTTCCCCCCAGCACGTTTTATCCCTGATTATTAAAAAATACATGTTCATATTGAAAATATGAAAACACAGAAAAGAATAAAGAAGCAAAAAGCCAGTCATCTTTAATCCTATCATCCCGATGAACCATTTGTCCTATTTATTGAATTACTAAGTATTTCCTTTATCCTTTGGTAGTTGAGATCAAAGTATAAGTTTAATATTATGTCCTTTTTTTGAATTCTGAGCCACGAGCATTTACCACTAATAAATACCAATAAACTTCATTTTAAAACGTTGATTGTGAGAAAGTCCACACAGACACAAAGGTGGAGAGGTGGTACAATGAATCACCATGCGTCTGTCACTCAGCTCTAACAATCGTCCGTTGTGGCTGATCTTGTTTTCTGTGCCCGTACCCACTTCCCATAATTCTGTGGTCCTGTCCTAGGACACATTTATAATGTATTTTGGTTTTTTGTAATTATAAAAAGATGCTTATTTCTGTTGGTGCCATATTTGCGCATAAACATTCATATTCTTTCTTGATGGAAAAATGAGTTCCATGAGGATTTTGTAAAGTATTTTCATCCAACAATTACTAAATAAACTGCAAAGAATAAGATGGCCTTGTAGTCTGAGTTTTTCACTTTGTATGTTCACTTCTCTCTCTTTACTTTTCAAATTTGATTGTACACATTTGGTGTCAAACATCTTTAGAAAATTCACAATCTAATGATTTTTACAGGATGTTGAATAATATAATACATTTAAGAAAAAAATGGATGAGGAACCTGAAAGAACTAAGCGATGGGAAGGAGGTTATGAAAGAACATGGTGAGCAAGGCGTTATTACTCTCTTCTCTTTTGGGCATTGTCTTTTTTGTTTTTTTTTACAGCTTTTATTGAAGTATATTTCACACATGTTAAAATTCACCTGTTTCAATTTATAATTTAGTGATTTTTAGATTTACTGAGTTGTGCAGTCATCACCATAAATCAGTTTTAGAACGTTTTTGTCACCCCAGTAAGATCCGTCATGCCCATTTACGACTAATTCCATTGTCCAGCCCTGGGCAACCATTCATCTACTTTCTGTCTCTGCCCTTTCTGGACACATGGTTTAATGTAATCATGTAATATGTGGTCAGTTGTGTCGGGCTCCTTTCACTTAACATGCACTTTTCAAGGCTCAGCCATGTTATAGCGTGCATCAGTGTTCATTCCTTTTATTGCTGAATAGAGCGTTCTCTTACATGGTTATACCACGTTTTTATTCATCCATTCACCAGTTGGTGGGCATTTAGATTGTTTACAGTTTTTGGCTGTTATGAACACTGCAGCTGTGAACATTCACGTCCAATTCTTTGTGTGGACATATGTTTTCATTCTTTTGGGTTAATAAACTTTTAGCTTATCTCTCAAACGAGTAATTATTGCTTATAGGGAGATTCTTAAAGAAGATGAATCAGGGTCACTTAAAGCTACAATAGAAGATATTCTCTTTAAAGCAAAGAGAAAAAGGTATGTGAACTTTTTGTAAGTGTGTTACAAAAGGTAAAATACATTGCTTTAAGCCGGGGGTGCCCCTGTACCCACTGCTCAGGACTGCGTTCAGCTGCGTTTCCGGGAAACTGACCTGTAGCCTCTGAATGGGGAGAGCCAGCACCCAGAGGCTCAGCAGGGCAGTGGGTCTCCAGGGACTTCCAAAATGCCTGTCATTATGTGGATCCCATAAGTTAATAATTGAACTTCCCTAAAAAATGCAGGTTAGTTTAATGGTTGTACTGATTTTTTCGGGTAGTATGTGGTATTCCATTAAAATATTTGCATAATTTTAACAGAGTATTTGAGCACCATGGACAAGTTCGACTTGGAATGGTATGTTGTTATTTTTTCCTTTACTGGTACAGAACTAGTTTGGGTTAAAGAAACATTCTGGCTTGATAGAATAAATAAGAGTGAAACAACAAACCTTTTAAAAGAATATCTTAGGAGCCAGCCCCATGGCCGAGTGGTTAAGTTCGCGTGCTCTGCTTCAGTGGCCCAGGGTTTCGCTGGTGTGGATCCTGGGCGCGGACGTGGCACCACTCATTAGGCCATGCTGAGGCGGCATCCCACATGCCACAACTAGAAAGACCCACAATTAAAATATACAACTATGTACTGGGGGGGATTTGGGGGGGGAAAAAAAAAAGATTGGCAACAGTTGTTAGCTCAGGTGCCAATCTTTAAAAAATAAATAGAAGAATATATTAAAAATACATGTGTAGAATGTGTGAATACTAAATGCCATTTTTACTTCGTGGTAAAAATATATTTGAAAATTGTCCTGGGGCCAGCCCTGGTGGCCCAGTGGTTAAGTTCAGCGTGCTCCCCTTCAGTGGCCTGGGTTTAGATCCTGGGCATGGACCTACACCACTCTCTTAGTGGCCATGCTCTGCTGGCGGCCCACATCTAAAAAATAGAGGAACATTGGCATGGATGTTAGCTCAGGGGCAATCTTCGTCAACAAAAAAAAAAAAGAAAAAGAAAGTTGTCCTTATTTGTGTTTTTGTTTGTAGATGCGCCATCTTTATGTGGTAGTAGATGGATCGAGAACAATGGAAGACCAAGATTTAAAGCCAAATAGACTGACGTGTACTTTAAAGGTACAGTAGAGTCATTCTAATTTACTGTCAGTGGGGGAAGGACACTGAATTTTCAGGGAATGCTTTCTTTTTTCTGAGTGAATGCCAACTACAGCTAAGGAGAAGTGCTAACGGTCCCTGAGGGAAATGGTAACGAATAGCTAGTTACTTATGTCTGTGGTTTCCGCCTTCCACCCGAGTCGGGATCTCGCTTTGTCGGTTGTCCCTTCCCACTGTTGAATCTCGTTCTCCTTTGGCTTCCTTGGCTCGGTGTCCTCAGCCTGTAGACACGCAGGTTCCTGGTTTATCAGAGCTGGTCCTCAGTTCTGCTCGCGCTCCCGTCTCTGTCTGCAGTGGATCTTTTCCTGTTTAGTCGCTTCTGTCTTACGTGTCCAGATGGCTCCATCTTTTAAGGCCCAGCTCAAACCTGTCTCGTCACTTACCACTTCAAATTCAGGTTTATTTAATATTTTGATTTTTACTTATTTAATATTTTAAAATTTATTATTTTTATTTATTTAGTATTTTTACTACTAAACATTTTTTTTAAATCTGAAAGCTTAAAAATCATGAGAAAGGGGCCAGCCTGGTGGTGTAGTGATTAAGTTTGTGCACTCCACTCCAGCTCCTCAGGGTTCGCCAGTTCGCATTTCGGGCGCGGACATGGCACCGCTCATCAAGCCATGCTGTGGCGGGCATCCCACATATAAAATAGAAGAAGATGGGCATGGCTGTTAGCTCAGGGCCAGTCTTCCTCAAGAAAAAAAAAATCATGAGAAGCAATGCTTTGATAAACAGGTTTCACAAGACGTGTTCTCTGTGGTTGTTATTTTGCCCTTAGTATTTCCGCTTTGTTTTCTTTAAACAGTTGTTGGAATACTTCGTAGAGGAATATTTTGATCAAAATCCTATTAGTCAGGTATGTATATAAGCAGTGGAATTCAGAATTGGATTCCTGATATGACTGCAAGTATGATTTATTTTTAAAATATTTGGCATACGTTCTATGAATTATTAAATGGTCCAGATCGTGTACCAGTTTCTGGTACAATTATTAATGAAAAGCAATATAACTCTAGAGGTTAAATAACGTACAGTGAACTCATAGCTCGATTTATGTCAAAAGCTTCGTGAGAACAAGTTTCTCACGTTACTTATTCCTTTGAAATTACTAATTTATTTTAGTTATGTACATTCTTATCAAGAAGAAATAATTCGTTAAATTAATGATCATTTTTGTTTTTCTTTGGAGATTGGAATAATTATAACGAAGAGTAAAAGAGCTGAAAAGCTGACAGAACTCTCAGGTACGCATAACCACCCTTCCAGGACTCGGGGCCTCGGCTGCGTTTACGCAACTCGTGCCCTGTTCCTGCGCTCGCCCAGGAAGTGGAACAGAGCCTGCCCGCCTGCCTTGGGTGGACCCTTCATAAGCCCTCCGTCAGACCCTCGGTGTCTGAGATGAGCTCTTTACATGGAGCTCTGCACACTGGCCAATAGTGTCGCAGTGGATGTAGATGTGTTTTTAAGATCTGTACATTCTTGTCCCCAGAGTATTAAGATAAAATTATTGTAACCATTCAGAAAATCCACTTAATCTTAAAATTAATTTTTTTAAAAGTTAAACCTCTAAAGAGCAGAGTATTTCAAATGAAAATTGAATTGTAGTTGTTAATGATTCAATTTTTCTGCTTGCGTGACATGCCTAACTGAATTTTATTCTCTTAGAAGATAATAATGTCAGGTTTTATTTGCTTTGATATGTTCTGTTACAAATTTACATCACTAATTCTGTTTTCTGTGAAACACACTATCCCTTAAATGTGGCTCTCAACCCTTCCTCCTCACCAGAACACACGAGAGAAGTGACATGCTTTCATCATTACTAGTTTTTCACTCTGGCAGTAAGGAGTGAAATGTACGTTAGCCTGCAGTGATCCAAGAAACTCAATTGTAAGCAACCCCCCCAAAAAAATCTCAAGATAGCGTAAGCGCAGAGTGAAATTCTTGGCTCATGTTCAAAGGTGGCTGATTTCACATACAGTTGTTTCCAGGGTCCTGGCTCTGTCTGGCTTCATGCTCTCGTAGGCTTTCTGGGAGGTGAAACCATGCCTGTTCATAGCCCCAGGCTGACGGGTCCCTCCTAGCCTGTAGCTTCAGCACAGGTCTCATTGGGGACTCTTCGTGACCCTGCTGATCGTCTGCCCGTCCATGAGCAGTCCGAGTGGCCGGGGAGCTGAAGTGTTTTGTTGGTAGCCTGGATGGCATGTCTGTGCCTGGAGCCGGATGGGAGCAGGATGAGCTTCCCCTGAACCACGTGGTCTAAGCTGGACTGTTAGACAGTGGGGGGAGGATGGTTCCCCAAGGAAAGGATGTAGGGCCACCCCTCCCCCCTCAATTAATGGTGGTTTTCTGTTGGTCCTGGGGAAGTCCTGTGTAGAGAAGGAAAAGCCTCTGGAGATGCTGACAGGCCTCTTGCAGGCGCCCTCTCTCCCTCTGGTCAGAGTCACACTGTAAACCTCGCCAACGGTGATGGATGCTTTTTCCCTATGCTCACGACACGGTGGGAGATGAAACACGTGTGTTGTGTGGTGTGGTAGAAACACAAGTGGATAGAGAGCCCGGAGATGAGCGAGTGCTGGACCTGCCGTTGGGTGGGCCATGTCTGTGGGCCAATCATTTAGCTTGTTACATGTGTTTCTCACTTATGAGTGATTTGACTAAGACATTTCTCATTTCTAAAATTTTATGATGCCATGAGTAAATGCAACATGTATTAAATATGGTGGATGGTTACTACTTTAGAACTTATTCAGATAAATAAGAACACTAAGAAGTTCCAAGAAGATGAATAGACAAGACAGATAATTCATACTAGAATAAAAAGTGAAATAACTATTGAAGAAGAAGTTTAGGGCCAACCCCAGTGGCCTAGCAGTTAAGTTCAGTGTGCTCCACTTTGGCTGCCTGGGTTTGGTTCCTGGGCGCAGACCTACACCGCTCTGTTAGTGGCCATGCTGTGGTGGCAGCCCACGTACTGTAAGATAAAGGAAGATTGGCACGATGTTAGCTCAGGGGGAATCTTCCTCAGCAAAAAAAAAAAAAAAAAAAACGTTTAGCCAAACAAGTAATCAAAAACAAAACCACTCAGCAACGTTTTATTGTATATATTTTAAATGAGCAAAGTAAAGTTCCAAAAGCAGTATATTGCTTGCTGAACCGTGGAGAAACTGGTATGTGTAGTGCTCATAGTCTGGTTAATTAGTTTAACATTGTTGGGAAAAGAGCCGTAAAAATGGTTGTTTCTTGGAATTATACTTAGGAAATATTGTGAAAAAATTTAAAAAAGCATTGCTCTACAAATATGCTCTTTGCAATGGTATGTTTAATGTGACAATATTAGTAAGTTAAATGTTAAGTTAATTTGATAGGGAAATAATGTTCAACATTAAGGAAATAAATGTTCAACACTATAGAGGTAGTTTGATGAACTGTGCTATATGAGAAAATCAATTAAAGATGTTTTGATTATCATTAATTAATATGAAGACAGTGTTGAATGGGAGAAAGTGTCTGAAGAATACCATATTTCACTGAATGTCAGATTCCCTCATTTGTAAGATACCTTTATTTTATGAGCCATCGAGAAGGAAACACCAGCAGTTAAACTTTGATGCCATGTCACATGATCTGGGGCTTGTTCACACCAGCTTTTTGGTCATTTGACGTGTCTGTCAACTGTTAGAAACAACTCAGTGGTTTCTCCTCCCTTCATTTGTTTACTTGACGTGAGGTGGACAATCTTTTCAGATGTTATTCAGTCAGCAGATAACACACTTTGTCTACTTGTGGAAATTCTCCTTTCTTAGGTCTTGTGAAGCTCTCATTTTTTTACCCCAAAGGAAAATAGGAATTGCCACTAATAACAAATTTATACCTCGCTGCTCTGCTCCGTGCCTTTCTACATAAAAATATAACCTTTTTTATTAATAGCATTTCTGAAAGCACTTTAAATTGCAGTTGAACTCAACATGAATGGCGCAAACAGTGTACATAATGCACTGGAAGCCACAGCATGTCAATAGCCATTCGTAGGTTGGCTCGCGAGCAGACAGTGACGGCTGTGTCCACCACTGCTTGCCTGCCGGGGATTGTCGGACACATCCTGACTTCAGAGGTGTTAAAATGTGAAAATAATGGTGAAATAGGGAAATGTTAAAACATAAAAGGTTATGTGCTCTAAGTTAATATTACTTAAAAGTGTGCTAATAGATAAAAGATAGGTTGTGTTCTCTTTTTCAGTATGAAATGAGACTTTATGTAACAAACATTTCTGATAAAAGTGCAACTTACCAAAAATGTAAATTGAAGGGATTTTGTTCTTTAATATCATAGACCTGTAAATTTTGGGAGAAACATGAATTTCTGTTCTGTATGTATATATAGAATTTTATTTAAAGTGGATTATTCCATTTCTGTTTTAGGGAACCCGAGGAAACACATAACGTCTCTGAAGAAAGCCGTGGCTATGACGTGCCATGGAGAGCCGTCTCTTTATAACTCCTTGAGCATGGCTATGCAGACTCTGAAGTTAGTATTTCACGTTCATTATTTCTCATTGGTTTCAAAGTTTTTTGAATGAGTTAAGTTGAAATGATCATGTGTTAATAGGTATCTCCATAAACTCAACTATGATGAAAACGTTACTGAGAGAAATGTGTAATGTCATTTATGATGTTTAGTATGGTGTTGGTTACTGATTTTTATTTTACATTTTAGTTGGTGGGGTACGGCCTTAAAAGTTTTAGAAAAATATCATTAAAACTGTAGTGGTATTAGTACAAAAGAAATATGTTGATGAGTAAACATTTTATTGGAAATTGATTGTATATGGAATTTAATGTCATGTAATAATTGTGAGTTTGTTGTACACTTATTGACTGTTATTAACTTATTTTGTGATACATCTGAAAATTAATAGCACACTTGCCCAGGAAGTTTAACTTTATGTGGAATACAGCTAAGACCCCAAAGGAAGTGTTCCCTATGGTTAAGGCTCGTCTGTTCTATCCCCGGGTAGTCTGTCCTGCCTCCGATACTTACACCTTTAGGTATTGTTCTGGTTTTGAAGGAGATGAGGAGGTAGAACTCATAAAAGGAGGCACGAAAGCAGCCTCCACAGTGAAAGCCGCGAGCCTGCCAGTGAAGCTATAGTGGGAAAGCTGTAAATAACTGATAGGATTGCCCCAAAAAGCATACAAATCTCTCTTTAATGTGGGGGAAAACAGCTCATCACATCATAAAATCCCGTACGCCCTCATTTAATTGAATGGTGCACAAAAATTAATGTTTATGACTGTTTTGACTCTGAATCACCATGAGGTTAACTTAGAGTCTTGAAAAAGGAAGATGGTTACCATTGCCAGGCCGCGCGGGTCCACCTCGAGGTGGATCCAGGTGGTGGTGTCACACTTGCCAGGGTGCGCCATAGACTTGGTGTGGAACAAATCTGCTGCCACGTGAGCTTCACAGTGTGAGGGCCTCGTCAGTCTTGCTTATCACTCTGTCCCCAGAACTTAAAAGAGGATTCAGTAAATATTTATGGAATGAATCGATGAATTTTTTTTTTAAGTGTGTAGCTAACTTTAGAAAAATTCACATTAAGGTATTAGGAATATACTCACAATTCATTCCTTTGTACTGTTGAAACAGGTGAGATGTTCTGTAGTCTAACTGTGTGAGCTGTGTGTGCTGTTCTTACTGGGGAGGCGGTTCGTTAGTGTAATTTGCTTTACACAATTGGGTGCATTTGCCCTTCCTTAGACACATGCCCGGCCACACGAGTCGAGAAGTCCTGATCATCTTCAGCAGCCTCACGACCTGCGACCCGTCTGACATCTATGGCCTCATCCAGGTAGGGCCGGCAGTTCCTCTGTCGTCCAAGCGAAAGTGACGACTAACGAGAATTCCGTAGTGAGCTTGTTACTAGTCTTCAGAGCATTCTGTCCTTTTTCAAACACGCTAATTCTTCATTGTTTTTTTCCTTCCCCGAAACGCTTTGTTTACGTGGATTTCGTGAAGACGCTAAAGGCAGCTAAAATTCGCGTGTCTGTGATTGGATTGTCTGCCGAGGTTCGGGTCTGCACCGTGCTTGCTCGTGAAACTGGTGGTATGTGTCTGGAATCTTCAGTGTGTATTCATCATTACTATGTAAGACGTAACAATTTGTTCATTAAATTACGGTTTTCATCTGTTTTTACTAGACTTAAATCAGTGTATGTCCTGAAGTCCAAAATATGGGTAGTCATCTTAAATATATCATTGATTCTGTAAGGTAGCATCTCAAAATGCAAGGAATTCTCAGTAGTTATGTCAGTGTTTAGAGGAAGCAATATAACCCTTGAAAAGCTACAAATTTCACTATACGTAATATTTTGTAAAGATCTTACAACTTGACTTTAATTAAATTGTAATTATAGTTATTCATAGAAGTGTTTGAAGAATGATATTTTAACTCTAATATTTATTTTGAAAATGTACGTTTTCAGATGGTAAAACTTTTACAGAATTGCATAGAAATTGTAATTCGTTCTTAAGTCTGGAAAGCTGATTTTCTTTTTCTTTTATTTTTCGTCTTGTTAGGCACATACCATGTTATTTTAGATGAAAGCCATTACAAAGAATTGCTAACACATCACGTTAGTCCCCCTCCTGCCAGCTCAAATTCTGAATGCTCGCTTATTCGTATGGGTAAGTGTTTATTTTGTGTTATTTTAAAATAGGCATTTTTAAAAATATGTTTTAGCTCAAATCAGACTTTGTATCTTCATTTGCACAAGTTATTTAAATGTTTAAGAATTTCCTTTTTTAACTCAAATGTTTTATAATTAGAGAAAATTATGTTGTTGAAGCAATTTTGGAAAATACAGAGAAGTAAAAATAAATGAAAACCACTGTAGCTCTCCCTCAGAGAACACTACTGACGTTCTTTCATTTGTAAGGCTGTAAAGGTATAATGAACTGGGTTTATAGAAAAATCCTTGTTGTATTAAGAAATTTAAAAGATAAGCTACAAAATCGTCTGTGCTGTTTGGTCAAAGCTGCGTGATGCAAAGTGTGCAAAGACAGCCAGTTGTGGGAGGCACGTGACACTGACCAAGGTGCTTTCTTTCTGGAGGACAAGAATGATGGGTTTTGCATCATTTAAAAAAAATTTTATTTTCCTCTATTTTCTGAAAATTTTGTATGTTTATAATTGAAAAAGGCATAACTTTTTAAATATAAAAGGAATCTCCTTGTTTAATGTACATTTTTTAACTGTCAGAGGAATGCTTTTCTTCCTTGTTTTTGGCGGTTTATAGTACTGGTCAGCCTCTTTGCTCATCTGTAGACTGATATCGGTGTCTGTCTCCTTATGTCGCAAGGGCTGATAGATACAGATGAAGCACACTCTACATTTAGATATTATGTTGGCTAGTCTTCTTTGATTTACTGATACATTTTCTTAGCCCATTTTAAAGTTGTGATTTAAACTTATAATAGTTTATTCTTCAGGTTGATTTGTTAGAGCCATTTAGGAATGTCCACCCGTTTTCAGTCACCTCTTGTGAATGTTTTTCAGTTGGTCATTTACTTTTGCTTTAATTTGTTTTGATGTGCAGATAGATTTTAAATTTTTATGTAATCAATCTCTCTTTTTTTAATGGTTTCTAGTTTCCTTGGCCTTATTTTCAGAATTTAAAAATGTAAATAGAAACAAACTACATGGATTTGGGGGTTCCAAAATTTTAAACATGGAAGTATATTCTTACATAAAGTGAAGGCAGCCTCTGAATAGACTCCTCCGTTGTGTTAGAAACAATTTAAAAATTACAGACACCTTCTTTTTAAACAGCAGTGTGTGTTAACTGTTACTAAATTGGAAAATATGGCTGTGACCTTCAGATGGGGCGGGTGTACAGGCAGCTCTCCCCCGTTCCCTCCACTTTCAATTTGTCTCATGACCTGGAGTTTCAGTCCGTTGGACCAGCTGTGATGAACACGTCTAAAAGGCGGGAGAGAGAACTTTTGTGCAACTTTGTGGGCTTTCTGGTAGGAACATTTTTAGGTTCCTAGTCCTAGAATAATTTTGCCGTTTTCCTGGAAAAAGAAAGTAACTTCTTTTCTTCTGTGAAGGATTTCCTCAGCATACAATTGCTTCTCTGTCTGATCAAGATGCAAAACCATCTTTCAGCATGGCGTAAGTGAAAACCTTGAAGCTGTCAGTGATACTATTTCTGCACTTTTAATTCTTCCTATCAGTTATAAGTTTAAAATACGGGCTCAGAATGTGATGACTTTTGTCAAAGATTGCCTTGTCTGTACTGTAAGAAGGAGTGAGGACTCTACTCTCTCTATACTCCTGTGGCGCCATCTTCAGACGTGTGAGTAAGTAAGACAGCGAGGTGGAGAAAAGTGGGCAGGATGCTGCCAACCACCTAAGGAGAGGGTTTGCCTCATAATAACAACATAATGGAAATAAAAAGTGAAAACTAAAAGATGTTTACTGAGGCGGCCTGTGGAGAAAGGCAAAGGGGTAGACCCCAGGTTTTCCTGAATATACCTTGTTTTAACTTCAGAGCTTTACATTTTACATAATTATAAAACAAAACTAAATTTAAGAAAATGATTCTTAAAAGTCACAAATAAGACTACTCTCTGCATGGTTAAAGGTGTAATAGGGACTGATTTACCCTCCTGCCTCCTGCCAGAAAACCGGGCAGGATACACAAAACCGTGTTTTCAGGCATTGGCAGCAGGCACTGCAGGGACGATCTCTGAAAGAGGGGGGCAGGCGAGGTGGGCCCTGTGACTCAGCTCGCTGCCTGGGGAGAATCTCCTGGCTGCCGTGCGGGGTGGGGGGTCGACACAGAGCCTGGACATCTTCTCCCTCAAAGACACGGAGTTCAGAGTTGGGGGAGGCTGAAATGACCGTAATTCTGCAGAGAGAGTCTAGAGAGTGTCTAGAGAGTAACGAGCTGCCCAGAGAGCTCTCCAGATCTGCAGAGGCTGAGTGCTGGGCTGCACCTTCCTGTGAGGGAACTCCCAGAGGCCGGTGGAGAATCATGGGACAGGAGCGGCCAGAACCGTCCCTGAGCTCCCGTGGCCGGAGCAGGTCACGTTCCCACCAGTCAGTGTGGACAGGCCTCTTAACACCCCGGGGGATGGAGCCTGATCCACCCTAGACTAACAGCTGTTCCGGGCAGCCTGACAAGCTTCAAAGAAGTCTCCAACAGAGCAGATGGCTTCCCAGTTACTTACATATATTCCAAAAAAAGCCCCAATGTATTTAAGGGAATACAAAAAAAAGCCAGCACCCAAAACAAAGCAAAATTCGCAGTGTCTGGCAGCCAGTCAAAAATGACCAGGCATGCAAAGGAGTAGGAAAATGTGACCCATAACAAGGAGAAAAATTGTAGAACAGAGACCTAGCCAGAAGTAACACAGTTGATAGAATAAGGGGACAGGAGGTTAAAACACTAAAACAGCCGTTGTAAATAGACTCCTTATGTTCAGGAAAGTAGAGGAGAGCATGAGCAGGAGAGAGATGGAAGAGAGATGAAGAACACAGTGTCCGAGATGACAGTACACTGGATGGGATTAATAGCAGGTTAGTCACTGAAGGAGGAAAGGGCAGTGAACTCGAAGACGTTAATGGAAACGACTCAAAACAAAAATGCAGAGACAAAAAGACAGTGAACAAAGCGTAAGTGAGCTATGAAACAACTTGTCAGAGTTCTAGCATCATGTCGCATACGTCCCTCTGCTCTGACTCTTCACGTGCTTCTGTCTTCCCCCCACAGGCATCTGGATAGCAGCTCCGAGCCGGGACTTACGCTGGGAGGCTATTTCTGCCCCCAGTGCCGGGCGAAGTACTGTGAGCTGCCCGTGGAATGTAAAATCTGTGGTGAGAGACCAGCTGTTCCTTATCTAAATTAGTCTTGAATAACTTCTTTCTTACATTGCTATTAAAATAATGTAAGTATTAAGCTCTGCCTGTGTTTCTGGGTTTAATCTGTGAGAAGAGAAGTAGGTTCCTTTTCTCGTTGAGTGGCGTTCCAGAAGAGGTTCCTGATTCTCTTTCTGAACAAAGTGTGTTCTTTAAGGGCGGTGCAGTCGATCTAGGAGACGTTTTTGCAGCTCTTACCTTCATAAGATAAATATATGTAAGGACAATGAGGAATGGAAGTAATAGAATTATGTAATTTTATTTCATTTACAAGTAAGCAAATATACAAGGAGAAGTCACACACTTATTGACAGAACCAAGACTCCATCCTGGAATCTCCTTTTATGGCCACGGGTAATAAACTGAAGACATAATATCTGCAGTTCTAAAAAAGATTTGAAAATACTTAGCCTGAGTTATATCGTTTGATGTTTCAGCGGCCGTCTCCATGAGGTTTGGGCTATTAAACACATCTCTGCTTTCTGCGTTAGGTCTGACTTTGGTGTCTGCTCCCCATTTGGCACGATCTTACCATCATTTATTTCCTTTGGATGCTTTTCAAGAAATTCCCCTAGAAGAACATAATGGAGAAAGGTACATGAGTTTTGGTTAATTTACATCTGTTATAAGTGGTAAAGTAATGTTTGAATTGGTGGTCTAGTGGTTAAGATCTGGTGCTCTCAACCACTGTGGCCTGGGTTCATGTCCCAGCAAGGGAGCCACACCACCCGTCTGCCGGTGGTCACACTGTGGAGGCTGTTTTCTGCTGTGATGCTGAGAGCTGTGCCACCAGGATCTCATATACCAGCAGGGTCACCCATGGTGGACTAGTCTGCAGAGCTTCCAGACTAAGACAGACAAGGAGGACCTGGCCACCCACTTCTGAAAAAATTGCCATGAGAGCCCTGTGAATAGCAGAGGAGCGCTGTCTGGTACAGCGCCAGAAGGAGAGAGGATGACGCAGAGTGACCGGGCAGGGCTCAGGTCTGCTGTCCACAGGGTCGCCAGGAGTCGGGATCCACTCGGCAGCACTAACAACAGAATGTTTGAATACGTTGTTACTACATTAAAAAAGATAGTCATGTTAACCTGGGCAAGATTACTTCTAATAGAGAAAATGAGATGCAGAATGCCTTGGTTATGAAATGACTCATCATGAGACAGATCCGGGTCTCCAGAAATGTACTAGTTTCCCTGAACCCAACTGTGGATAGTAAGAGTGGTGGTATACAGGTAAATAAGCTCTCCAGAAAGAAGGAACAAGCCCTGATTTGTAGCATTTGCTGATTATATCCATGGTATAAAACTGGAGAATTTATCTAGAAGATCTAAGATGAGAATAATAAGAGAAATGAAGAAAAGGTCAAATGAAGAGTAGGAAAGAAATAGTTTCATTTTCTACTATTGAGGCACAGAACTTTCTAGATTGAAAGGGACTGTCGAGTGCCTAACATATATAAAGTATGTCGTTGTAAAATTTCAGAATACACAACAAGATACTAACCCTGGACATTCTGGAGAGGGAAAATTAGGTCATATAATCTGCAATGAAAATTGACTTCTCATCACTCCCTGTGATGAGCTGGATGCTGGATCTGGGAGCAGTTTCCTTCAAAATTTAGAGTAAAAATTGTTACCAACCGAAATTATATGCCCAGCCAAGCTATCAATTAAATGTGGGTAGAGTAAAGATATTTTCAGACTTGTGAGTTCTCAGAGACTTTCTGGGGAAGCTGTGGGAGAGATGATTCAAAGGAACTGAGAAAGAGAATGAATGACAGAGAAGTGGCTAAGGAAAGCCGGAGGATGATGGTGAGGAGAGATCCCAGAGTGGGAGTGGGTGTCAGCTGTGCGGAACAGCCAGCCTAGTTTGGAGAAGGTCAGAATGCTCCAGGGACAGTGTCACCAAGAGGACAAAAACTATAGAATTCCCGATGTGGTGAATGTAATCAGAGGATGTTTAGGCTTCTCAGGGAAAGGTTGGGGCCCCACAGAAAACTAAGCTTGTGAAGAACAATACAGTTACTAACTCCAGGAAAAAATGTTTTGCAGAGGAAAAGTATTACGTGGCTGAGCTGAATATGTTTATATAGTCATATAAAGTAAACATGTAACATCATTCTGTCCAAAACGATCGAAGTACATAGAAAGAATTGGGAGTGACATTAGTTAAGCATGTGTATGCAGTTGGTTCAGGAGGGTTGAAAGAGAGTTGAGTTCTCGTCTTCTGCAGTTCATGGCTAATGCTTGCGAACAAAGCAGGAGAGCGCCTGAGCCCAGGTGACGCTCAGACAGCTAGGAGTTTGAAAGCGTGTGCCCTGGGGATCCGGAGGTTGGGGGGAGGCAGGGAACTGATGCTTTTTGTAGTACGTTTTGAGAACTTCTAACTCTACACTATTCCTTGAAAATGAATCCCTTAGGCATCTGTTACGTTCGATAAATTAACTCCTGTCCGTCTAGTATGGGACCAGGTGTCTGCTGTCTTTGGGAGGTGAAAGACAGTCCTAAGTCATTTTCCCCAGGGCTCGGTCCCTCGCAGAATCCCAGTGGAGAAGGTGTGCCCTGCTTAGCCTGGATGGAAATAACAGAAAGTGTTTTTTTCCACGTAGGGTTTGGGGCTGACTGTCAGATGACCTTGGGATATAGTCTGGAATTTTCTTAAATTGCTGGTGCTCTTAACCCTGTCTTTCACCTAAAAGTCATGTATAAAGATAATTATTTATTAACTGAAGGATTCTTGTTGAGATTTTGCTGAGCTATTTTAATGAGTGAATTCTAAACAAAATGATTCTTAAACTTTGTTTTTCAGATTTTGTTATGGATGTCAGGGGGAATTGAAAGACCAGCATGTAAGTCCCTGTGCTTTGTAAACGTTAGGTGTTGTGTAGGAAATACTGAAGGGGGAGTGTTACAGGTTTTCCGTCGATTGTTGAAGCCCAGGCTCCTATCGCTTGTTCTCAGAAGGCGAGCGACCCGGGGGGCGGTGAGTGGAGCACAGGAGCTTCAGCGGTGCTTTTGCGATTCTGCGTCTAACTGCCATGCCGCTGTCTTAGTGCTTGAAACGGCCTTCACTCTGCAAGATGACCTGCATTTGGTTTGAAAGTGTTTTCTCCAAACTGTCCTTCAGGCTCTGTGAGAACTCACTTTGAGTTCCCACTTCAGGTGGCCACAGACCTAAGCTTAGTCCCCATTGTGCCAGTGAGAAATATTTTTAAAAATTTTGAAGGTGGTCACTTTGAATATATAAACTTATATAAAGATGCAAATAGGATAGATCCCTGTCTGGTTTTAGTTTTTTATTAGTTTAGTTACCTGTCCATATTTTAAACTATACTTTATAAACTGTATAAAATATTAGTTGGAAGGATTGCTTGTTTATTCAGTGCTCACTTTTCATAAAACAATTTATTGAGTTTGACGTGCTTCTTTGACGTCAGGAGCGTCACCCTCACTAGAACCATTGGAATCATTCGATAGTTTTTAGGAACGCACCCTCTTCTGTGCTGTTTCAGATTCGGTGAGTTTGAATCTGTGTGATGCTGCCCTGGGAGCTTTACCCCACGGCACAAGTACCCACATGTGTAATCCTGATAGAATAGTGGGTTTTTCTTCTTTGTCTTACAAGGTGTCTTTTGCCGTTTTTCTTAATGCTTTAGTTAAAAGGAGAATATAACTTTTTCAGTTGTGGTGCCGTTCTCTAGGAATAACGAAATCTGTGTTAAGTTTTTGTTTCTCTTTTTAATTGAATTAGTCAGATGACCTCTCCAAGCGTTCAAAACTAGCACTGATTTCAAGCCCATGTGTCTTCCCCAGATAGTTTCTTAAAGTGAAGTAATTGTGTCTTGTAATAGAAGAGACTTTAAGGACTCAAAAACAAAGTTATTCCGTCAGTTCTAAGGAGTCATACTTTTGGAAAAAATGCGGCATCTTGGATTAGAGAATCTGTAGGACGTTGGAAGTAATAAAGTGGTGGGGAGTTGATACAGAGACGGCCGCGTGAACGCCTTCCGGCTGTGCTGCGCTCACATCTGGAGCCGCTTTTTGAGTGTGCCCCTCCCCCCACAGGTCTACATCTGCACCGTGTGCCGGCATGTCTTCTGCGTGGACTGCGACGTGTTCGTGCACGACTCTCTGCACTGTTGTCCTGGCTGCGTGCACACCATGCCGGCTCCTGCGAGTGTTTGACCCCCGCACACGCACGCAATATGCGTGCTGGAAAGCACGCTGTGGTTGTAAAGAAAATGACTCTAGGAAAGACTCCAATTAAAACGTGAGGAACAGTTTGGAAGGAAAATCTGACTGAAGAAATTTTTTACTAAGAAAATGTAGTATTTTATTAAATTTAAAAGTTTGTGTTCCAGAAACGCCTGGAATTCAATAGGACTTCATTTAGTTAGTTTGTTTACTATTATTTTGAGTTACGTTTTCAAAGTCATATGTATTATTGTATTTAAGTTACTTATAATGCTTAAATTGATATGGTAATTTCATTGTTTTATAATTAAATACAGAATCCCTGTGATTTATTTTTACTTGTTTTTAGTGTAAAAGGAAAATTATGTATACGTGTAAATTCAGCATAGGATGAAGTGAATCCTAGCTATGAAATTACATACTGCTCTACCCACCCAAGGGGTCTTTTTTGGCTTAACTAAACAATCAGAATATAATTATAAAATTAATGCACCTGAAATTGTTTGTGTCTGTGACCAGCAGGGATCTTTTGAGGCCTAAACATTCCGGGTCACAGGATTGCTGTGGCCACACTTGGAACCAGTCTACTCAGAGGCTACAGACCAGAGCAGGCTTCCAGGAGGCAGCCCCAGGAAGTCCTCGCTCCAGGCGGAGTCCTTGTAGCAGCTCACCCAGCGCAGCGTGGTGCAAGGCCATGCGGCCCTCCGCAGCCCTCAAGGAACCACTGTCCCTCTTAACAGTTCCATAGACACAGCTTCCAGGGCCCCACAAAGGGCTGTCGGTTTCAAGAGTCACGGCACTCAGGGCCGCCCGAAGCATGAGGTCCCATCAGATCCCCACAGTGCGCCCAGCCCAGGTGCAGCTCAGCGTGAGGTCCCATCAGATCCCCACAGTGCGCCCAGCCCAGGTGCAGCTCAGTGTGAGGAGTAGGTTCTACCTCAGTAAAGCCCCTGAGAGAAAGGCGACATTCCTGCCTTTATCAGTTACCATGACAACAGGGGATGGCTTACCTGAGGGGAGATTGAGGCAGTGAGGGCAAAGGTCCTGTTAACTTTCACCCTCACCTGCCACACCTGTTGCTTTCAGGCTTCCTGTGTAGTAACTGGTGTTTCTCTGTGGGGCGGATCTGAGACCACTGTCGTCGTCTTATCTGGTGTCTGAGCCTGGTTTACCTCAGACTTCAGGCTGAGGCCAACGTGGTGGTGTCTGTGCCTGTTAGCCCCACTCAGGTTCATACCAGGGACTCTGTAACCACCTCTTCGACTCTCCGGGTCATCAGAAAGACAGGTGGGAATGTGTCGAGTCTGTGTGTCGAGTTGGGTGCAGACACAGCAGCGCAGGCAGCGCTCTCCCAGCGTCCACCCTGTGGAGAGCAAGTCAGGTTTCCACAGCAAAGGTGTCTTTACTTTAAATCTGCAAACGCGAGTCGCTGTAGATTTTCACTGTGACATTCACGATTTTATAAATAACAGTTCTTAGCGAAAAACATCAGTAGAGATAATGTAATCCTACCCTGTGAGTCTATTCAGTAAATCTTGGATAGAGGCCAGAAGTAGGCATCTTTATCAGCATGCTTGTGTGCAGACACACAGACAAAGACATAACATGACCAAAGTAACAGCTTTCTCCCAGGAGTCTCATTCTCTCAGCCTAGACCCAAATGGTTCTTGATGTGGAAACAGGTTTCAGCTCTCGGTAACCACATGACCACTGTCTTCCTTCCGCTTTGTCAGCAGAGCTGTCTGTGGCTTGTAGGAGATGCCTTTAACATGATCAGAGCCTTCTGTCTCCCCTCCCTGCTCAGGAGAAAGGCATGAGTGAGTGCTCCCCTCTTGGAAAATTACTGGAAATGCATTCGAGACACGCCCTCACTTCTGCGTGGAAAGGGGATGTTCAGTGCCCTTTGGCTGCTTTCTCTCTCCAGTTTTGTGTTTCATTTGCATACTTGGTAAAGTTACGCTTAAGGAGGATTTCCTTTCTCAAAGTTATAAAGAAAACCCCAACTTGTGTAAGATTACAGAAGTAGAAATGGTGATGATCCGAGACTGTTAGTCCTGGCCTTTCACTTTCCTCTAGGAACTCCATCTGTGCTACAACAGTGAAGGAAACCATCTGACGTGACAGCGTCCGGAATAGTGGGTCTGTCTGAGTCCTGCTGTTGGATTAACTAGAAAACTCCTTAAAACTTAAAATTCATTATGGAAATTAGGTTTATTTTAAATGTTTTCAAATGCATACGTTTTACTTCATATTCTTTTTTATTGGGTCTGACAATGTTTGTCTTTTAACTGAAGCGTTTTGTCCATTTATATTTAATGTGTCTACTGATATATTTGGGTTTAAGTCTACCACCTTACTTTGTGCAATTTGTTTCAACTATTCCGTCTTTGCTTTTCTCTTTCTTGCTTTTTTTGGATTATTTTCCACCATTCTATGTTTTTCCTCAGCTACTTTGGAAATTGTATACTCTCTTTTCTTTTAGTGGTTACCCTAGAAATTACAATACACATCATTTCTTAACTTGGGTCCCCTAAAAGTAGAACCTGAAGCAAAGATGAAAGTGTTGTTACTTTGTTTGGGAGGTGCAGACCCAGGGAAGGGAAGGGAGGGGAGAGGAGGAAGAGTGAGGCAGGGAGAACACTGCTGCAGTGCTGCACGGTGGCCGGGCCTGGTGACAAGCTGGGAGAAGCTGGAGGAGTCTCCCAGCAGGGGTGTCCACTTGAGAGTGTGGGGCTTCTCCAGAAGGTTCCCCCAGTTCCATCTCACGTTCCCCATTGGCCAACATCCTCTGGGGACGGCTTGGGGAGCGAGATCTCACGCTCAGTGGTGTGACAGTGCAGCCGGCTGGGGCAGGTGGAGGGAACCCCGGTCAGACTGGCTTGTGTGCTTCAGCGTGGACTCTGCTGGCCCGGGACAGTGGCAGAGGGATCAGCCGCCAAGTTGAGGCAGCAAGGCCTCGGGAAGAAGGAAGCGGCCAGGGAACTGAGGGGGCGGAACCGTGTGTCCGTACTCACTGGTGACGTCACAGCCTCCAGGTGATGTGTCCCTCGCATTTAACCTCACGTACCTCCTTCCTCGCTTGTGTTATCGTATATTTCTTTTTTTCTGTGTCAGAGACTAATATTTGTTTCAATCAGTCAATGTTTATTAAGGTTTAATCGCATATTTACCACTTTTGTGGCTCATTTCTTCTTACGTCTCAGATCTATTTAGGATCATTTCCTTCTACCTGAAGTACACCCTTCAGAATATACTGGCGTTCAGGGGATGTCGTATGCTACCTGTTACGTAAGGAAGAGGGAAAAATAAGAACGTACATTTGTGTTAGCGAAAAGAAACACTGGAAAACGATAGAGAAAATCAGTGAAACCAAAAGTTGGTTCAACAAAATTGACAAATCTTTAGCTAGATTGAGCAAGAGAAAAAAGAAGGAAGACTCAAATTACTGAGATCAGGAATGAAGGGGAGACATCTGTGGACCCTGCGAAAATAAGCACGGTAAGGGAATGCTGCAAACAACTTGTGCTGAGAAAACAGCCCCTCGGAGGCTCAGCCTCAGCGTTTCAGTGTGACGGCCCTGCGCACAGAGTGGGGACGTGCAGGGAAGGACCCGAGCTTAGGATTCCCGCGGAAGTTCCCTCTGCTGCTCCTGGGGCACCGTTTAAAACAACCACTTGGAGTGGAGTCTGTGGAAAGTCAGTGACCTCCCCCCCAGCCTTGTGACAGCTGCTGGCTGCCCTGCTCCCCGCCTGCTCGCTGGTGACCTGGTGCGGAGGACCGCTCTCCCCGCTCCTGAGCCCTGTTCTGGGATCTGTAAGTGATGACTCTCAGTGACTGCTTCCTTCGCCCGAGGGTACTGAAACTACCCCTTCCCTCACAACGACCTGCGGTTTCACTTCCTCCAAGTGGGAGCTCGATGCTCAGGGGGCTGCCTGCTGCCCCCGGACGACGTGCCCCCCACTCGGCTGGTCATAATCTGCATGTTCTTAATCTAACGCACCAGCCACAGGGGTCCACGGGCACTGATAGAGGCAGCAGCCCAGGCTGGGGAGACCAGAGTGGACGAACGCAGGGATGGGGGAGAAGGAGTTTTCAGTACTTTTATATAGTTTAAAATTTTGAGCCTTACAAACTAAGTATTTCAAAACTAATAAAATTTATGGAATCCTGAAAAGTCGTGGTGAAGCAAACGAAAATAATGTAGCTAGGGGCCGGCCTGGTGGTGCAGCTGTTAAGTGCGCACGTTCCACTTTGGTGGCCCAGGGTTCACCAGTTCGGATCCCGGGTGCGGACGTGACACCACTTGGCATGCCATGCTGTGGCACGTGTCCCACGTATAAAGTAGAGCAAGATGGGCACGGATGTTAGCTCAGGGCCAGTCTTCCTCAGCAAAAAGAGGAGGATTGGCAGCAATTAGCTCAGGGCTAATCTTCCTCAAAAAAAAAAATAATGTAGCTAATGTTAGCTGTTAGCTGCAGGCCTGGAGCAGTCACGTCCCTCAACAGGTGTGGAGCTCAAGGCTTCGGGAAACTGAAATCAAGTTTCCTGTTCATTTATTTGGGTCGTGGGTCAAACGGTACGTTTCCACCCACCTGTGGACAATACGTGCGCTGCCGTTTGCCCTTGGGAATGACCGCATCCACACAAGGAGAAGGTGGCTGCGCTGTCTGGAGGCTGAAGAAGAGGCGTGATGGGATTACGAGCGTGTGAGTCCTGTGTTTAAGGACCACATGTGACCCACGTGTATATGAACACCTGTCACATCAGACCGGACGTGTGGGAACAGTGAGGGGACCACTCGGCTCCTGCGGCTCGGGACAGCGGCAGAAAGAACAGGAACATTTTGTGAGATTCCTCAGCACTTGGCCTCGTCCTCGGCTGTGGCCTTGTCTGTGCCGCGCTGTCCGTCTGTAGTGACTGGCGGTTCCGGTCGGGTGGTTTCATGGGCCTGAGAAGGGAAGGGCACACCCGGCCCTCGGGAAGTGGGGGCTGGAATGCCAGGGCCTCTGGTGGGCAGCAGGGTTCAGGAGAAAGGAGAGGCTCGAGCCGGGGCTGTGGTGAGGAGGGAGCGGGAGTCGGAGGCTGTCGCAGGAGCGTGGTCACAGGAGCGTCCTGACGACTGCCGGGTGCGCCTCTGCTGGAACAGAGGATCCGAAGTCTCCTTCCGCGTCCTCTGCTTCTGTTCTGGGGGGTCTATTACAAGGTGCGCTGGGGACTCTGATGGGCTCCTTATGGGATTCAAATCCTTGATTTCAAAGGACTAATTTGCTGTTTGAGTCACACTTCAGGCCCAGGGCCCTGGAAATAATACACAAGTGGTTTATTTATTAATTCACTCAACAAACCTTGTACCTCTGCTATCTGTCTGACAGGATCCTAGGCATTAGGATATAGACACCAAAAAGAGGACACAAACCCTAGCCTCCCAGCCTGAGCCGAGGTGGACCCATGGAGAGGTCAGGGCGGCTGCGTAGTGACAGGGCAAGTGTGGT